CGCCTGGAGCCCCCGCGGCTTTGCCGGAGGGGCTGCAGCACCGCGGGGACCGGGGCTGCCCCGTCCCACCTGCCTAATGCTGCCCTTCGGGTCCCCACGCGGGAAACCGCCTCCTCGCCTTCCACGCCGTTCTCCCTTCCCTATCGCATCTTCCAAACCTGTCGCTCTCCCGGCCTTACAAAATGCTTGTTCAATACTGCTACTAATACGAGCAGCCCTCACTTTAAAACGTATTTTTTTGCCAAGTGCCATGATCTCGTACCTTTTATATATATATATATATATACATGTATATATATATGTCTGTGTTGGCCATTCTGAAGTCAGTTCTTTCCTGAAAATACAGTCACACACTAGTGTGAACTGTCATTACCTTGTGAGAGCTCTGTTTTACTGGTATTTCGACATTTGGTGGCTTACTGACGGCAAAACATAGGGCCCGTGTACCTCAGAAATGTTTTCATTTTTTCAGACAGAGCTCATAGCGTTTTCCTCAGGATGTCTGCACAGGAAGATGCCAAGTTCCATCTTTTTTATTTCTTTTTTTTTTTTTTTTTCATTTAAAAAAAATTGTCTTGGGTATGTATTTTTTCAGTAGATGTTAAATGCACACGGACTGCAGCTGAATGCTGTATCTGGCAGAAGAGAGGAGGTTGCTACAGGTAGGATAAAAGACAGAATAATTGATTCTCCTGTGTAAGAAGGTGAACTTCTAGTTTTCCCTTATAATTGCCTTCATTAGAGTATTTGTGCTTTACATGAAGGCTGTTTTTCCACGAGTTTTCCGTTACTTACTTTTTCCAAGGGATGCACTCTCACTTTGCGAAAGTGCCATTTTCTTTCCTACTCCTTTTTTTTGCACTGTCGGTTTGGGACTTTTCCCTTCGCTCCCAGTGGGCCCCAGCAGGGAGACGCCTGGCGGTGGGAGCGCGGGGAGGAGCTGCCTGCAGCGAGGGGTGCAGGGCCGCTCCTGCACACCGGGTAGATAAGAATTTGTAGTCCAACGGGCTAAAAGCATTGCCTTTTCCAAAGCGATCTCCGTGGTAAAGCTCTCCTCAGGGGTCGCTGGTGTAAGCTGGTGTTATGGGGACTATGTTTATAGACCAAAAGGCAGCTCAAGATACTGAGATTTCAGCATCTGGATTTCCTGTTCTAGGGACAGAATATCCTTAAGATACCTTTAGTGTTTCCACAAAACACACAAGAGCTAAGCTCCTGCATAAGCATTCTCAGAAGATGAGATGAAAAGCCAGCCAAAGTGAACTTGGCTATTAAAGAAATACCTAGTAAGCTGCCTGTTTGTGAATAAAAATGGAGAGCTCATTCAATGTGGGTGCTGAGAAAGTGGAAGTAGATTCAAATGCTAGGGAAAACTTCTTCGTGGCT